AAGGCAGCACACGATTGCAGCGGCTGCCGAGGATTTGAGACCCCTGGCACACCAACCAAATGACGCGGAGTTGGATGCTCTCTTCGGCCGCAGATTAAAAACGCCATTCTGCTTCCCTCTGAACAATAATGAGCATCGTGCTACTAACTTTAATAAGCGGAGTTTCTAACTCTATTGAGCTGACCGTCTCAGCTGTTCACTTTGCTGCTTAAGTCACAACAGTGGAATCTAAACGGGAGTCAGGTAATTGTATCTGTCTCTGAGATTGCCTTAGTTTAAACTTGATCGCAATAAGCAAAAGAGATTTTTATCACCAGAAACATTTAAGGCGCCAAACTCCTCATATAATTAGCATAATTATTTTGTACGGGTTACTCAGTCATTTCCGATGGACATTTCAGACTTCCACAAAATGTTGCATATTTTTCATTCATTTGTGACGTACGTTGTGGAGTAAAGTGAAATATTCCTCGTGGTACACGTGTCATAACGTTGTCTCTACACGTGCACCCGTAGGCTATGACATTTCAAGGACACGGGGCTTGTTGCTGCTGTGCACATCGTTGTGGGAAGTAAGTCTAGAAATGCGAGTGTTTGCGACGATCACGAGGTATCGACATTTCCGTTTCAGAACATACTATCGATATAGTATCGATAAGTTGCTTCATATCGAGGAATTGCTTATTGAACAGTTCTCGAACCTCATCTTAAAGCTGTACCAAGTTATCAAGCGTCCGTGGTGCAGTGTTTTACCCAGGCAGAGGATTTTTAGGGGCTGACGTTTTTGGTATTTTTGTCATAGTCGGTATTCCCACGAACACAAACGCTTATGATTATTATTTCATAAGATTATTAAACCGTGGAGTGTCCATTTTCGCTGAAACGGGTCTTATAACGCTTATAAAGTTGCTCCCAGGTGTTTAAAGAAAACTTCTAAATATAATTAAAGTGTCCACCAGAAAATAATTAGGCCCCGAATTGATTCTGACGTGAATATCAGAACAGAAAAGTTTGTTCCGGCACTTCTGACTGTGACCTCCACGCCCCCCCCAACCCACCCTGGTACAGTTAAATACAATTGACATAAACGTAAGTGCCATGAGGTCCGGTCAGGTTGACTTTGGCATGACGGATTCGGTGGAGAAACAGCTGTAGGACGTCATAACAATGGTTCGCCTGAACAGACCGACCTCATACCCGCAGGTTGCTAGGTACAAACAGCCATCTTCGCACTCAGCGCCGTCAGAACCTCAAATTCTACTTATTAAAGAGCCTCAAGAACGCGCGTGACGTCACACCGCGTGACCCTAGTAGAGGGGAAACGACGGACGTGTGCCTGGAACATCGCCCATTGACACCAGAGGACCTCGAGTCAGCTGGAACGTCGTTACGCTCTCTGGGACTTGCTGGGAAGCGGTGGATCGACCCTGTAATGATAGTTTGTGGGTTCAACACCTTATGGGACCGTGGAAATAGAGTTCCATTGTTGGAACGCATTGTTGCGCATCGTACCTGGGATCGCGTTTGTCCAAGAATGGACAGAGATGCAGCAGTGGCCTTGGGCGGTGCGTGGTGTGGCGTGAAGAACACCTTTGTTATGTCAGCGCATCGTCCAACCTTGGTTCCCTTTCTGCAGTAGCGGCGAGTCGGCTGCATTTCCTCCGAACTGAATTCATAGTCGCTGTGAATTCCTTTGATGAACTTTGACGTTGCCCATTGTTGGGTTGAGATAGCATTGACAGCTCTACCATTGTTAGAAAACGAAAGTCGTGACGCTGTCCATTGTTGTCAGGTTCGTATCCAGGCCCTGGAATCGAACGGAAAGGCCATGACGTCACTCAGTTGTATTACTGCGCACGTATAAATGTGTGAAGGTTAGCAGACTTGTACTGCACGAAAAATAGTGCAAGTCGTTTTTAAATCAACTCCGCCGCTGAGTCATCACGCCATCTTTATAACGTTTAGTGGAATTGGCGAACCTCTTTCCAGGAATATCGGCTGACTGTGTCCTCAAGTGTAGCATTTCTTAACCGCAACGCTAGGAAGTATTTCGAACCGCACTGAACATGTACTTATCATCCACGAGCGAAACACCTTACAAGCGTCTCATATTATTCTTAAAGAATCCCTCGGTTTGGGGCACACAAACTCGATCCACTTTGTGTCTCAGTTGCCAGGCCTGTAGTTGACAACTTTGACCTTGTGGACTTGGGTTCGATGCTAGCGCGTAATAAAAGCTGCCCCACTCTACCGTCGGGAATCGAACCCCGGTCGTCCAATCATTATAGTGACTGAGCATTTGTTGTCACTACTAGCACACGAGATTAGGCAATGCGTTCTAGTCAATTTTCGCGTCGTGCCACCCTTTCGCCAGGGTCCTTTTGCAATTCTGTCTATCGTCAGTTCGTATTTTATTCTGCATGTCTAACTGAGGGTCTTAATGTCATTTTATTTGATTATTCTCAGCGTATGTCAGCATTCTCGTCGTGTTTTTAAGCTGTGTAGTTTTTGGATCGTAGTTTACGGTGGCCACGGTGGTCTAGCGGTTAGAACGCTGGCCTTGTAATCCTGGGGTCTCGGGTTCGATTCCCGGCGGTGCCCGAATTTATAACTTGTGTTGGGCAAGGCCGTGGTCTAGGCAACACGGAGTTTTCCTCCGTGGCATCCCAACAATTACTCCATTCACACACAGAAGAAGGCAATGGCAAACCACTTCTGGATCATCAGCCAAGAACGTATATGAACAGGTCCCAGTCCGAGAAAAGGATGGAAGGATCCTGTTCATATGGACCTGTCGTCAGACAGAACACTAAATAAAATAAAAAGTTGACCACAAGAACAGCAAAAATGTGGAAACCTTCTGACCTGCTGAGTTTCGCAATTTTAGAAACATAAATGCGCACAAAATGTTGATGGAGAGACCTCTCGGGAGGCAGCCAGTTGGAAGACCAAGAAGGAGGTGTGAATATGTGAAGTCAGAAATGTGTCCGCGTGTGGGTGGACCCTCGGGGTCTTCTTAATACATTCTCGTACGATGTAAATTGCTGGCAGAACTGCCCGTGGTTTCGGACTGTGAAGAATGCAACTAGTGGAGTATAGGCGAGCCGTCGCAGTCAGACAACTCGAAACAAATGACTGTATCGTAGGTCATGAACAGTTGGCGATCTGCCCGCAGTTAGTGACGAGCGTCATGCCAAGGACAGATCAAGGTCCCTGCGAGCCTGCACTTAAAAAGACGCTCGGTGCGGGCTATATTCCAGAATAGAGGGCGAGGGAGTTGTGTCGGAGGAGCCCGTCCTGATGCACGACCGCGTTTATACGCGGGTGTGGCTTGCCCCTGTCATCGTGCGTCGAATTTTTTTGAAGAAAGAGAATTTTCTGCAAGGAGAGACCTCGGTCTTTGCGTTCTCCATTTCTGCGTCGCTAATGCGTGTCCCTTGCTGAAGCTAAAAACGCCGAGACCATCGACCCAAACCCAGTCAGAGTTCCTTTTCACGAAGGACAAGTTTCCAGATGACGACCTCCCACCGGAAACGGTAGCTCCTAGTCTGAACATTTCAAGGCCTTCCGCCACGAGGGGAATCCCGTTAGTGCATCCTCTGTTACAGTTCGCAAGGCGCCGTTTGCCAATTCCATCAATGCGTTTCGTGTACAAAAAATTGTCTAACCTGACAACCTTTTGGTTGCTTAGCGCCTAAATTCCACTGTGGCTTTACAGTAGAGTCCACGTTTTCCTGACTGCGGGTTCTCGGGCGGAACCTTCAGCCTCAGAACCTTGACTCTGGTACTAGAGCGTCCCTGAACGCTTCAGAATTGAGTGGTTTTCAAAAATAGCCTATTTAATTCCGTATTATTATACACCCACAAAGTACGTGAAGCTTACATCCCAGTTACGTGTTTGTGTATCCCGTTCTCTCCTTCCGCGCTGGTAGAAAGGTTTGCTAACGTGGCCGTCGCTCCGCGAACCTCTTGCCACCAACCGACGATGACGTGTCCACCTCCCTCTCCTCACGTCACAACCGGTGAATGTGCTGCTAGTTCCCGCTCTCCTAACCAGAGGGACGTCCTCGCCAGGCTGCTGTAATTAAAATCCAGAGGACATTCGAACCGGAAGTGAATTGTTACGCAATGCCCAACATAATTTTGTTTCAAAGATCTCACACAGTTACTGTCTTCAGTCGTTGCTGTCGTATTTCAACCTATGGTACGCGAACTAATTAAGAAAATCAAAAGTTAATATTAACATAAATAAGTTTGTCCTGAACGCATTTGGTTGGTGGTACATTTAATGTGTTAAATTAGAAAATGGCGACGACCCCTGGTCTAAAGGGCCTCGTGGCCTTTCCTTTGCCTGACCGAACTGCATATTTTGGCGCAAACTGCGTGATTGGTCGTCGTAAAACTGTTTTTACGTGTCTGTTGGTCTGTTTCTTGTACATCCCGTTCTTAAGTCTGGTGTAAAAATTGATATTGACCAATCCCTAACCATCCGCTTCCTTACATCTGCCCTGAATATGGAGGCAGCATGTTCCTCAGAAACATGCAGCCAAAATACGACTTTTTTATTTTTATTTGTAGTGTTCTGTCTGAGGAGAGGTCCATATGAACAGGATCCTTCCATCCTTTTCTCGGACTGGGACCTGTTCATATACGTTCCTGGCAGATGATCCAGAAGTGGTTTGCCATTGCCTTCTTCTGTGTGTGAATGGAGTAATTGTTGGGATGCCACGGAGGAAAACTCCGTGTTGCCTAGACCACGGCCTTGCCCAACACAAGTTATAAATTCGGGCACCGCCGGGAATCGAACCCGAGACCCCAGGATTACAAGGCCAGCGTTCTAACCGCTAGACCACCGTGGCGGTCATCAAAATACGACATGGAACAAGAATTCAGAATACCACCATCTGTGTTCACGACACCGCGAAAACCTCGAGTCTCACGTGGGGATCACCGGTTAGCGGAGAAAATCCACCGAAAGAAGGCAGAGACACTTCTGTCTGTTCACCACAATCTTACCAGACAGAAAAGTTCCATCAGCGTCGTAAAGAAATCAGTTGATCGGCCGGAAATCAATCAAAACGTAACCATCCTCGTCTGACAGACGGCAGGACCACGCTACGAGACTCAACAGTTGGTGTGTCGATGGTAAAAGGTTTCTCCTGTAGTGTGGTATTCGCCGGCAGCTGAGGACTATTTACTTATCGATCTGTAAATTTATCTGCGTACGTAGAATGTGGCAAGATTTGATTCTGCAGTAAAACACAGAATTCAATGGGTAAACGCGATCCTTTGAACAATCAGGCGAAGATGGGCCTTGCCATAATTGAAGGACTCTTCAGAGGTAAGTAACGTCGCAACTTAATGTGAGCTCGTCTCTGTGTGCTTCATAAACATCTATCAACATCAATACCTCTTTATAGTCCACTCTCGCAATTATTATATTACGTCTCAGAAGTAATTTGCGGGCTAGCAGACTTCGAGCACTCGCGTTGTATGTTTTTAGATAGGGACAAATACGTAGCTGGAGATGTTGTAGCGCCTCTGAACTTACTGAAGACACGATCTTGCACTTCACGTCTGCAAGCAACTTCCTAGTTCCAGGATCTGAAGTGTATTTTTTCCTACCATCTGCAGGACGTTGCTTGCACTCGGGTGTAGTGTGGAGTGCGTAATTAAACACACGTCGAGCCGGCGTATAAAGGAGCGTGTGGGTTTCAACCTTGGCACTGAAATAGTTTTATAAATTGATTAATTTGTGTCTTATTCGTTTGAACGCCATAGCGCATTTGACGAGAGAGAATGAAATTTGTACATTATACATTTTGTAAGACTTGAGGTTTTCACAGCGGTGAGTATGAAGATTTCTGTCTTCTGGGTTGT